AAGGGATCCACGATTTGTRWCATTAGACTTTATTTGATAAAAATACATTTTAGCTGTAAAATAAAGACTGTACGAATACTGTAGGATGTTTAGTTTTGTAAATTTTTAAAAGTATATTTTAACAAGGACGGAGCCATTTTTACACGCAAAGCATTCTGGGTAAATGATGACATGGATAGGTCCTCRGTGCGAGGCTGCTAGCGAGCTATATCCACCCTGAAGGTTAATCTTGGACAATATCTGATGATCGACTCTTTTAAATGAAACCAGAGAGCGTTGACAGAGAGGAGAAGGTAGAAATGACTCAGCCTGGAACTGAAAATATGGATGGAGGACCTCAGTTTAGCTTGTTTGTTGCGTAGCGCTGAGCTACATTTAACATGTCAGCACTAGCACAAAGGCTAACAGGCTAATCTGAGGTTGTTCTTCCATGAAGCAGCTCTGTTGTCCTCCATCCATATTTTCAGTTCCAGGCTGAGTCATTTCTACCTTCTCCTCTCTGTCAACGCTCTCTGGTTTCATTTAAAAGAGTCGATCATCAGATATTGTCCAAGATTAACCTTCAGGGTGGATATAGCTCGCTAGCAGCCTCGCACCGAGGACCTATCCACGTCATCATTTACCCAGAATGCTTTGTGTGTAAATAAAATGGCTCCGTCCGTGTTAAAATATATTTTTAAACTGAACATCCTACAGTATTTATACAGTCTTTATTTTACAGTTAAAATAAACATTTATTAAATAAAGTCTAATGTTACAACTAATTGGGGATCCCTTTAAATGGTCATGGATTTTCTTGAATCAGAGAACTAAGCTCTTGTTTTCTCATCAGATTTGACTGATGACAACATTGACGATGACATCAGCTGCGTGCTCAATCTCTTCACAGAAATTGTGTAAGTTTTTTATGTTTTGCAGTTCGTTGAAATGTCCCTAATGGTTTCTGTGGGGGGAACAAATAAGTTAGTTTGTTCCTTCAGCACTGTTAAAACACAATATGCTGTATTTCAAAGTGTATTTTAAAGTAATTATTTATGGAATGTTTTAGATTATTTTATAGAATACAATCACTCAGAGGGCACCCCTCACAAAATCATACCCAACAAGGCAAATTCCGTAAATGTACATATTTATTAAACTGATAAACACTGAGGTTTTAGGGACTTYTTGTTTGTTAAAGTTCTGTCATTACTCCTGAGGTGTAGACAAAACCACGTCTTCTGGTTGAAGTGGAACTGCTGTTGCTGATGAAGAAAGGACTCTGAAAACAAGGCTGGTTGAACAGCAAGAACCTTTATTTTGCAGTTCAGGAGATTACAGCCTAAAAAACCAAATTGTGGCCTCCAAGCCAAATGATTCACCAAGTAAGAAAGATGGAGAACGAAGGCAAAGAACAGGGGCGTACAGGGCTCTTTATAGGTTTTCACAGATGTACCATAAATCTTGTCACGGTATACCTTAAGCATTCCTCTTCCWAATATGGTAATATGTGCCGAGTTCTGAAGCTGGAAAAGCCAAGAGACATCCCATCTGTGCATTCCTGAGAAGAGGCCCCTTACTCTTTGGACACTACACTCCACCAATTAAAGTCATGTTTTTGCACAATGTTAGCTAAAGAAAAAGATGCAAGACACAAAAAAGCACATAAAAAACAAACAAAACTGAGTAAAAGCCCTAAATACAATACAATAAATGAAGAATATTTATTGTGATTTTGAGTTTGAGAATCCCAAATAACCATGTCAACATGTAAAACTTTTTTTTCCTCATTAAACAGCAAAAATGGCTTCCAGGCGCCGAACTTGAGTGAGCTGAGRAAAGTGTAAGTTATGACTTTGTGCTTTTGTCAAACTAAAATCACACATGTTGTTTCCATGCAGTGATGTCCCCTCTGTTTGTCTGCAGGATCAGGCTCATCATGCCGGACAACTGTAAACAGGTTAAAGCGGACCTTTATTTTGCTGAGTGCAAGCCATAAATGTCACTGGTTTGATCAGTCTTATTTCAAATTGTCCATTGTTGGAATAATTAAAATATGAGGCATGTTGCACGTGTTGTTGTTGTGTTTGTGAGCAAAAAAATTATCATGATCCAATGCGAAATAACAGAAAATGTAAAAACACAAAGGATAATCAAAACAGAGACACAAGGATCTGAACAGGAAAACAGAATTTTACAAGAAAAACTACTAAGAGACACCAAAACACACAGACACCAGCTGTGTTTAATGTTTTTATTTTGCAGTACAGCACTAGAAAAGGTTGATGGAAATGACAAAATAAAAAAAAACTCAAGTTCCCCAAAGATTTATTTATTTATTTAGTTTTTGCTTGCTTGAGGTGATTTTTGGACTTTCTGAAAAAGAGTTAAAGGGGAGATGGAARCACGTTTGACGAATGAGTTCTGATGTAACGAATACTCACCTCACATGCTGGATCATCTGTGAGTGTCTTCCTTGATATCCCCATAAGAACAGCTTTTCTTTCTCCACGTCTCCGGATGGCGTGTAACATCACCAGGACTGGATACGACACATCAGTTAGAACTTGCCCCATAGCTRCACWTTCCTAAAAACTYCTCTCYATTGACCCGAGATGTGTGGTCCCTGCTAGTTTGCAACCTSTACTTCCYGTTAACAATTGATGAAACAAATATAATTGATTATTTAGTTTGCAATATGACACAAACAATGTTCAGGGACACTTTTGTTCTGCAGTACAGTTAAAGAAAGGAGACATGTGAAAAATACAGCTGAGCATTAACATGAAGGTGCTGATGAAACCTGTTGTTTTTTTTTTTTTGTCTGAGCAGATATGCAGTATAGTGAAAATCCTAYTTGTTTAATTCTGAATAATGAGTCTTGTGTGAAACAGAGCTTTCACGCTTCAACCTGTGTAGAGACTCACACAAAGAAAAGCTGTGATTAGAATTTAAATAAATGTAAAGTTTTGGCCTCAGACCCCAGCAGAAACACTGCGCTTCGWATGAGGAACAGTGATGTCCTCCCCGGGGCCTGGACACTGGTGGTGGAGACTGAAGAATTCAAATCAGTTTATTTATAAGGTGTCAAGTCATGATATGTGTTGTCTCAAATAAAAACAACGTAAGGAAGCCAGCAGATTGTGTTAAATCASTTTGTGTCCCATCCTGAGAGGCACACGGTGGAGAGGAAACACTCAGTAATAGGTCGAATCACAGTCAACAGTTTCAATGGGTTTGGGGTTCTACCAGCGTCATCCTTAAACTTAACAACTACTTTAAACTCCATCCATCCATCCATCCATCCATCCATCCATCCATCCATCCATCCATCC